ATTTTCATTTTGGTGCTGAGTTTCATAACAATAATTTTGATTGCTTACCTCTCCCAAAAAAGAGGTATGCAACTTCTGATGAAGGGTACAAAAGCCATTAGAGCAGTGAAATGAAATGTCATTTAACAGCTCTTGAACATTTAAGTTATTTATCACACTTATGTTGGTTGTACCTGTGCAGTATCTCAACAGTCTGAACTACTGGGTGGTTTATGTGTCACAAATGAGTCAACAGAAAACTGATAAAAGGTCTAGTCTGCACAAAACTCTAACTTTGTTAATGTTGCTACCATTCTGATGTCTGTACCTGTGTTCTGATAGACACTTGTGGGTTTAGGAAGTTTCTGGTAATTCCCTCTAAAGAAATTTATTTTCCATGTTGTTGTTGTTCCTGTCTGTACCAGAGTCTGATGATAGTGTTATGTCTTGTCTTCACATCACAAGACAGCAAAGAGTACATTTGTTGGTGTATTTTCATTGTGGCCCTTGTCAGAAAGTATTAAATTTGACACTACTGCAGAGATCAAGCAGAGAGCAAGAAGAATAAGGTGGTGTTTGGAATTCACTGATGATTTGTGTTGGGAATAGTACACTTGTCTGAAAAGTTGTATTTGCAAAGGATGAAAAAGTAATATTTTTGCAATGCATTTTTTGTTTGAGAGTTTTTTAAGAAATCTCAATATTTGTAAGTTAAGGAGAGTGCATATTTCAAATGGGAAGAGAGGAACAGGTTACTGTGTAAGCTCTGAAAAGTTTTAGGAGTTGAAAAAGAGCAGCAGAAGCAACAAAGTTAAGCAGAGGAATGGAATGGCCTGGATATCTTACTGCCACTTATGCAAAGCCCGTTCTGCACGTATGCTACATCTGAGTGTCCCAAACTGCTTTGAAATTTTGGCTGAGGAAGTAGCTGCCTGCAGGCAACTCAAAAATGTCTATGGGTGTTCTGATTAACTTGTCTGAGCTCTTTCTCCGTACCTGCAAGCTGCTGTCAGCACCTCCCTTCCGACTGCGTTGTGCTGCTGCCAGCTGCTGTTACTTTTTCAAGTGGGAGATGCTGGATTTTTTAATGGATGAGATGGAAAGTGCTGGCAAGCAGTCGTTGTAAATGATCTGGGAAAATTATGTCCTGCTGTTTCTAACTGTAGCCATCTGGAGTTTTGTTTGGAAACATTTAAAAGACATTCAGAGAGCTGGGATTGTTCAGTTTTGTTCCCCTTTACCTGAACTGTTCTTACTTAGGGCTTACCAGAGAGGCAGTCAGGTAAAGTTGTGCTCTGGGTTCAGGTAGGAATGGGATTCCTCTTGATGAAGGGATGGGGTTCTCCCATGGCCTGGGACTTGAGGTTTTGGGATTTTTTAAAAGAAAGACGGACCAGTTCCAAAGCACGATGTGTGAGTGTGTTCTGCTCTGTGCGGCCTGTATTACCTATCAGATCAGCTAGTCTGTGCAGGAGTATTATCTTTTACACACAGGATGCCTTTGTCATTCTCTGGCTGGTAACAATAAGAGTGATGGCCATAGTGTAAACCTTTCACTGATGAAAGGAAATTAAATTGCTGAAGGCGGGCGATCAGATATGTCTTTCTCTGAGTATCAGTATGAATACAGTGAAAAACTGTTTCACTTTTGCAATCTGAAGAACAGCAAAACTTTGTCTGTCAAGCTCCTCTTGCCTGTCCTAGAGGCAGTGTTTTCCTCTGCTCTGATGCCAAACACCTGAAATGAGTGTTTCTCGCTCTGATGAAGAGGTGGGGCATAGCTGTTGCTCAAGTTTGTGGATGAGGGACAGGGGAGTGAGATCTCTTCAGGCTGTGTTGCAAGGGTGATATCTGATGTTTCTTTTTTCCAGTGGCCTGTCGTACATGCTGAGCAAGAGGAAGAGACGGTCAGCATTCCTGTTGTCCGTGCACCTGAGAGGAGAAGGAGCCGTTGTTTGACCTGAGCTCCTGGGAGCACAGATCAAAGTGAGTGTAGTGCTGTGCTGCCTCTTCTTCCTCTTGCCTTCGTGGTGAACTGTCCGTGGGTCAGCTCCTCAGGCACTCTTTGACATCTGTGATCCAGCAGTTGTGTTGAGCTGCATGTGCTCAGCAATGGTTGTGTACTTACTTTGTGTCACTTCAGCCAGTGGGTGACAGAACAGGAAGGAAAGAGGGCTTGAATTAAGGTGACTTTTTGAGTGTCACTAAAATTGCAGCCTGCTTCAGGGGGATTCTTTAATTTCCTATGTTACTGAAGGTCTCTTTTCTCACATCTCGTAACCACTGGTTAATATTGTAAATGTGCGTGATTGGAGCCAGCTCTGCTTTTTTTCCATGGATGGGAACAGGCTGAGACCTATTTGAAAGGGTGACTCCATGTAAAGTTGAGAGAAATGTTGAAGTATGGGTGCTTCATTTTGTTTGTCAAATTATTTTCTATCTTTTTTTCACTACCTGCAATCATTCAGGCGTCTGTGTTTTACTTTTTCCTCCTATTTGCAGCATCCAGACTTAACTTGTTTAAAATAGGTTTATTTTGTCTATTACCACCAAGTTCTGACCTCAGTCTTTCATATTTTGTTTGGCATAATAGATATTTACCTAAGAAGCTGGATGAGAGAGGCAGAGTCTAGCAGATACGCATCTATCCATGTTATCCTCAGGTTATTGCTACACACATTGTGCTGCTAAGCAGAGTTCTGTGTTGACAGGTGTAAAAGTTTCCAGGAGGTTACAGCCACCGTGTGTGTAGGAGAGCTTTTAAAACAGATTCCATAGCCCCTACTTGATAGTTGTGTTTGTAAGTTAGAAACCAACCGGAGTGTATTAGGAGGTAGCGGAGCCGAGCGTGTATGTGGATGAGTGGGGTTCTGGTGGTCTGTGGATGTGATCTCAGCTGCTGATGACCTAAGTGACTTCTTCAGCTGTGCAGGCGAGATTGAGTGATGTATGCTGATCTACTGGAAGCCTGAAACAGAAAAGAGTACAGCATATGGATTGTCAGTAAGCATTGTCTTTTCCTGCTTGTCTGCTCATATTTTGTGTGGTTTTGCTTTGTTTATTTTTGTGGGAAGAAGTGTTCTCCTCTTTGGTTTGACTTCTGGTATAACAGGAATACAAATTAGGTCAAATCTATCATGATCAGGGAAGGACTCTTGCAGGGTGTGTCCAGAAAGCTGTCGTAAAAAAGAGACTTTGAGTTCTTTAAATACCGTCATTGCAGAAATTACTTCCGTACAGAGCTCCCAAATCTAAGTTTTTGTACTTGTCTATCAGTATGTGAATTTAAACGATACCGTGTAGCTTCCTTCGACAACTAAAGAACTGAACTCTGTCTGACAGTTTTTGTGTCTAGAAAAGCTTGTTGGCTTCTCTAGAAGTAATTGTGAGACAGAAATAAAGATAGACTTTTCAGAGAAAATAGTTCCTTTCCTCTCCTCCATGCATGATGTGGTCATATAAATGAAATAAGGTATCATTAGGCAAAGTAACTTCAAAATGTCTCTGGATTTCCTGTCTTGCTAGGGAGTAGGAAGTGCACTCTACAGACACTCGCCATTGGGCTGGGATCTCAGGATAGCTGGGGCAATTGCCTCATCCAGCCCCCTTGACCCAAAGCAGGGTGACCTAGAGCAGTTTGCTCAGTGCCATGTCCAGCCGCATACTGAACATCATCAAGGGTGGAGGCTCCACAGCCTTTCTGAGAAATAGAATGAAGAAGGGTTTTTTCTTATGTTTAAGTGGAATTTCCTGCATTTTATTTTTTGTGAAGGGATGCTCCAATCCCTTCATCGTTTTAGTGGCCCTTCGCCGCACTCACTCCAGTATGCCCATCTTTTCCATTTCTGGTCCTGTGAGCACTGGCTGGAGCAAAGGATAACCTCCCTCACCCTGCTGGCGATGTTCTGCAGCAGCCCAGAATGCTTTTCATCCCAGAAGTGTATTGGCTTGTGGTCAACTTGTCCCATCCCCAGGTCCTTTGTTGCAAACCTGCTTTCCAGGCAGTGGGCCCCCAGCCTGTCTCCTTCCGAGGGACAGGACTTGGCATTTACCTTTGAGGATCCTCTCCACCCATTTCTCCAGCCCATCAAGGTCCCTCCGAATGGCAGCACAGCCATCTGGTGTATCAGCCACTCCTCCCAGTTCTTCCTCATCTGCAAACTCGCTGAGGGTGCACCATGTCCCATCAGAGAGCTCTTACAGCGTGTTTGTTTAAAAAGCAGTATTGCCGAGTACGTGACACTGGGCAGACACTGATCGCAGGTATATCTTCCTCGGGTGTAAGAGCATTGCAGTTGCATTTTCATGGCATTGTAACTCAATTACTAGGATGGGACAATGTGACATGCTAGTTTGTATGGAGGCTGCAGATTCGTATACTACTTTTGCTATTCTTTTTATGGTACCTTCAGATGTGAACTTGTGCAGAGCATGTCTGGGTTCTTCTGTATCGTAGCTCGAGCACTCCTCGCCATAGGGTTAGATTCTGAAGTACCAGTTCAGGTCACTCTGCAGCACAGGTGTAGATAGGTTCCGAGTTACTTCTGTCAAATATTGCTGAATGTTCCTCCCCTGCTCTTTCAGGTATGTGTATAAGTTATTACTTAGTAGAACAAATTGCAAAGTACCCAGAATTAATTCTGGTTGACAGAACAGTCAGAACTCTGATTCAGACACTCATTCGGCTTCCGATCCATGCAGGTATCCCACAGAGAGGAGCTGGGGAAGCTGAGAGCACATTAAGTGCAACTTTCGGAAGCCAAAGTGTTGAAGGTTAAAGTAACAGTTAAGATTAAACCAGACACAGCCTTAAGTAGCTTTTGCTATAATGGATTTGAGCACTGATTGTTGTAACTGTTGGGTCTGCTCAGCTTTATCTTCTGTATGCAGAGCTCTGTGGCTAACCTTAGCAATTTCAGAAAGACCAAAGATATAATTTTAGAGATGGTTTTGGGCATACATTCATGACCACGCTGATAAAACCTTTTGTTTTTTTGTAGATAAACTATTCATTTTCCAGAATGTTTGTTGGATATGAAGATACTGATGATACTGAAGTGTATGAAGATGAACTTTATCATGAGGAGTCATCCAGTGAGCAGAGTGTTGATAGCGAGGTGGAATTTCATCTCTACAGCCAGATCCACTATTCCCAAAATCTTGGAGAAGTCAGCACGCTGGAAATGGAGGAAGAAGCTGGTGTTGCAGGAGCCATGGGTCATAGTTCAGTTCTAACTGAGAAACAGTATGAAGAGGTCACTGAATTTGTTGATCATTGTACTCAGCTTTCAGATGATCCTGAGATTATCGTCTTGTCTGATTCACCAGATGAAGACAGCATTTACAAAAGCAAAGCAAAGAAGTCAACAAGGGCTTTAGCTAAAGGTAAAATAGGTATCCATCCAGCATCTTCCACACCAAATCATGCCAAAGCTGCTGGAGGTAATACCGTGTGTCCTGCTGCATCAGGCGCAGACATTGCAATGCAAAGGAAGAGCACTAATATGAAGCTGAGCCCTGTTAGTTCTGCTGGAGCTCATGCCATCCAAGATGTGTTGGTAATAGATGACAGCTCGGAAGAAGAGAGCGTGATATCTGAAAGTGATAACATCGAGAGGTGGATGCTTTTGGGAGCCGGTGCAGATGACAGAGATGACGATATAATGTTGAACCTTGAAGGCTGTGCAACTCCCGTCAGTGAAGGTTAGTACTTTTAATTTCTTTTTATTCTCTTGTATGTGGAAGGATTTGTCTGTAACAATACTGATGTCAATGTTTGAAAAGAAAGGTAAACAGAAAGCAAACAACAGAGCGTGTAATTGTGGGTGCAAAACTACGATGAAGGAAATAGCCATTTATTTTTACCATTTCAATACCATTGTTTCAGTAGTGTCACATATGGAAGGATGGCATGCTTGCTGGTAGAAATATCAGAGTGAACTTTCCCACTTTCCAGTATCATGTTGTGAACTTTCCAACTTTCCTGTATATTTAGTATTCCTAAAAGCATATAAGAAGTTGCAGGGGGGCAGGGGGAAGGGGGGTGAAATAAAGAGGAATACATGATTTCTTATTATAAACAAAGTAAGTAGAAAAGAAAACAGTTTGAGGACTAAAAACATAAAGAAAATCAGAGGTAGGAACTGCATAACAATGAAAAGTTTGTTGAGAAGTGCTGCAGGGCAGGAAAGTAATTAGTGCTGATAACCTGAGTGTAACCACTTCTTCAGGAGTCTGTCAGTTTGGGCTGTTGGTCTAAAATTTACTGTAACTTCTTGTATCGATTCTGCACTGAATAATTCGGAGAGATTCCCAACCACTAAGACTAACATTTTGGTATTTTGCTAAATATTCTTCCACATTACTGTGTAGAAAGAAAGTAAATGTGATGGTTAGTGCGACACAGTTAGCTATGTGTTTGTAATAATCATACTATATAACACATGCCTTGTCACCAGCAACTAAAAACCTCTCTCAGATGATCAGCCACGCTTTTTGCTTACCCACTGCTTTCTCGAAGCACACAGATCATTTCCAGAAACAGCGTCCCCTGCCAGTCTGAGAGAAAACAGTACCTGAAGAAAGGCTGCTTTCGTGGCAAGGCTAGCAGCACTGGGGACCTTTGCAAGACTTTTCCCC